GTATTCTTGTAGATGTGGTTGAGTATTGTTTAAAACGTATTCTTGTAGATGTGGTTGAGTATTGTTTAAAACGTATTCTTGTAGATGTGGTTGAGTTATGTATAAACCGTATTCCTGTAGATGTGGTTGAGTATTGTTTAAAACGTATTCTTGTAGATGTGGTTGAGTAATATAATTCTGGTAAATCATTATTCTTAAAGTATTTCTTCAGTTATACTTTCAACAAGTAGATCACTTATTGAGTTTTTTAAACGGTTTAGTTTAATTAATTAATTCTACTTGTTACCAAATATTCTTACATAAATATAGCATCAGATTATTTACTTTCTCTCCGCACATTCGTCTAAAGTATAAAAAGCATATTTATATCTTTCTTTATATTTATAGTTTTGTTTATGTTTTTGGATATGTTTATGGTTTTGTTTATGTTTATGGCTTGTTTATGTCTTTGTTAATGTTTATGTTGCTGTTTATGTTTTTGTTTATATTTATGTTTTTGATTATATTTATGTTTTTGTTGCTGTTTACGTTTTTGGTTTTGTTTATGTTTACATTTAAAGTTTATGTTTACATTTAAAGTTTATGTTTATGTTGCTGTTTATGTTTTCTTTATATTTATGTTTTTCTTTATATTTTTGTTTATGTCCTTGTTTATGTCTTTGTTTATATTTATAATTTGTATATGTTTATGTTTTTTACTATTTTTAATACAGTAAGCTGTATTTTCATTACGTTAGTTCTTATACGCTAACCCTGAAACATGTAATTCTGCTGTACGTTTACCTTACTTTTAGGCTCAGCAGGTCGGTATGATGACTGAGAATCACAGCTACCTAATTACATCTTTGGTAAGTAGAGCTGTTCTGAAACACAAGATACCTTCTAGCAACTGCTTTAATACAAAGTCCATGTATACCGGTAGTAATGTATGAAAAATAAGTATTGTTTCGTTTCTAATAATATCTCCTAAATATTTGGCATCCAGTTTTTTAGTAATTATTGTGTAAACAAATCCCGAGATAAGGAATATCATTACTCACACGTGGCGTCTAAAAAAAACAGCATTTCCTACAGGTTATGTCAAATCTAAATTTAAAAAGATTGTTATCATTTTCTTCTTTGCGAAAAATAAATCTTTAATCAATTTACAGAAAAGATTAAACGTGAAAATAAACATTAGGTTTTCGTCCACTTTTCGTTTCTTTAGGAGGCCTTGCAGAAAAAAAGAAAAATTTGGGACAATTGAGACTAATTTGTGTTTAAATTTCACAGATGTTGATAATCAATTTTAATCAGCTATATCGTGTTACTTATCATAATTCTTTAGAAACAAACTCGAAATATCTAAAAGAAGTATTTTTTTAGTTCCATTTATTGACAAACTTAATAGTCGATAAGTTGTTATTTGGGAGAATTTCTTACCATCTGTAGCATCTAATATACCATTTATTGACAAACTTAATAGTCGATAAGTTGTTATTAAGAAGAATTTCTTACCATTTGTAACATTTAATATACCATTTATTGACAAACTTAATAGTCGATAAGTTGTTATTAAGAAGAATTTCTTACCATTTGTAACATTTAATATACCATTTATTGACAAACTTAATAGTCGATAAGTTGTTATTAAGAAGAATT